GGGGGGGGGGGGGGGGGGGGGGGGGGGGGGGGGGGGGGGGGGGGGGGGGGGGGGGGGGGGGGGGGGGGGGGTGCATACTCATGTTTTCCATGCCTTAGTTGTCACGACCATTGACCACATGCGCTCGAAAGGCGGGGGGGGGAGAAGAAGACGGAGCTTCCGCGGAGAAAACATGCCGTAACACATGCCATAATGGTGTAGAGCCGGAGGAGGAAGGAGTTGACACCAGTGATATTGGGAGGCGGGCGGACGTTAGTGGGTCTAATGTGTTCATTGCGCGGCAAAGTTGGTGTCCTACAGTAATATTATTCCTGATGTCCGATGTCGTAATCCTTCCAGTAGCCTGGAGCGAATCGTCTCCGCATCGCAGAGCCCTGTGTCGTCGAGCATTGCACAACCAAGTACGTGTTTAGATAGATTCTACGTCTTACACCTTCCAATACCCTCGGTGGCTGTGGTAGAACACCTTGTTACTACGCGCCGGAATTTCTCCGTATGGTTTTGTGTCGGGTGTCGTGTAGATGGTCGTGTAAATTTTCCGTCCTGTGTCTCGTGCCTTCATCCCTCAAGCACCGATTTGGAGCCGCTTTTTTCGATTGCCTGCTGATGTTGGCGTCCGCACGTCAGTTGTGTCGAGGGCACCTTTCGCTTATGCCGTACAGTACTCCCAAGAAGAGGAAACGTTTCGGGAATTTTTCTCCAACTTCAAGTGGTCTTGCGCGGGCGCATGAGCAGTTGTCCAACCTCTACTTGAATCTGCTAGTTTGCGACAGGCGTTGTCTTCAGACGACGTCTTTTTTTTGCTTGTTCCTCGGGTCTCCTTTTTTTTTGTGTGATTATGTCTTCGTCTTTCACGCCAGTATACGGTAGACGACACAAGATAACACACCCACATAAGAAACCCCCCCCCCCCCACAGAATACGACACCCCGGTGATAATTTTGGCGCTCCTGACAAACCATCGATTTATCAGCGGCGCTACATAAGATAACACACCCCTTGAGGTTTCGCCGCAGGCTCCTCCTTCTTTCACCGGGGTGATACAACATGTGCCGCGTGGACATGTGGGTATCTCACACACACAACATCTGCGAAACTCTCTCTTGGTCGTACCCGATAGCACGGTATGCAGGAGCCTACTTTTTGTGTGAGGGGGCAGGACGGATAGCGCATCCGGTGGCCACTGAGTCATGTGCTCAGGAGATTCGTCACCTCCGTTGAGCTCCTTTGTTTTACACATTCCGCAAAACCACAAGTCATGGTAGTGTTCGTACAGGCATTACCATCACACCCCCGCAATACCAACCAAGTGTGCGGCAGCAGCGGTTCAACCCTACACGAAGTGTTGTAACACCTTTGTGATCACCCCCCCTCACTATCACACCCAAAACACACCCTGCGGGTATTCGGACGTGCTCGCACTCCCCCTTACCCCCTCATTTATCACACCCCAAACACACCCTGTGTGTGCGTGTTCGGACGTGCTGTCACATCCCCATAAGGGCCCAAGCGAGCTGGACTTTTATCACCCGGGCTACATAAGATACCACACCCGGTGAAAAATATTTTTTAGCCCAAAAATTTGTCGCCAGGGTGTGCTATCTTGTGTCGTCTACGCTATTGTGCTCTGAAAACGGATTTGTCAGCATGTCCCTATCTACGCCCTTTCAAATCTCGTTGCTGCTGTTCTCCGCCGCAACATCGACAGGCACGAAATGGGGTGTACAAGTACACGGGAATGTGGCAATCTTTGGTCCTAGTAGCGAAGGAGGAGGGGAGGAGAGGCCTTTACGCGGGCATGGGAACGCACGTCGCCAGAGTGGTGAGTGCGTGGGTGAGGGGAAAGGAACGCTATGATGTGTTGCCCCGCGATTCCATTCTACTCGTATAGACAGTTTTGGTTCTCCGGCGGGAACCCCTCATTGTTGCAAGTACAGTTTTAGGTTTTGTATTTTCGCCGCCTGCAGAGGGCGTTTTTGTCAGGGGGCGGGGGGCGGTGAGAGAGTACTATCGTTGTGGACTTCAGCTGGCGCTGAGTGGTGCGATGTTCTGCGAGGGGGTGACGGGTACTAATCGAACTAATTACCATCGGCAGGACGGTTGCTCTTTTGAAATATTATCTTAGACTACAGCCCGGCTGGTGCAGCTCAACGAAGACGACTAAATGAGAAAATTGGAGGCATATTGGATTGTGGGTGCTGTTTGACTAACATGCTTTTGCTGAGCGGACTGTTGCCTTGGTGGCGTGGCCGTAGATTCTGAGGTGGTGTTGGTTTATTGTCCGTCACACTAGTCACAGGCGATTCTCGTGTGCTCCGTTCGTGGAATTCGTTCTTCCACATCCCTCATGGTGAAGGCCCACCACCATCGATTTTCACGTGGTACCACGTTCTCTGTAGAGGATGTGTTCAGTTTTGTGCATTGCATGCTTTGAGGCCGAAAGCGGGGGCGTCACTCACTCGGCACAAGCATGCCGTCAAGACATGCAATAATGTCGTCCCCTCTTCTGCTTTCCTCCATGTCCCCCCTCCCCACGCCCCGCCGTTGTTGTTGCTTCGGGGACAGGTGCCGAACATGGCCATTATGATGTTGTCGTATGAGTTGATCTCGGACTGGTTGCGACGGCGAGACGAGAAGAACGCGCAGGGCTTGAACAACCTCCTCAAGAGCCCGGCGGCATGACACCGCCCGTTGGGTTGTAGTATCGTTAGGGTCTGGGTATGCCGTAGACGCGACATCGAAGCAAGTTTGTATGTTGATCGCGTTAGTTATTGGACTGATTGATAGCATGGCCAAGCTGCTTGAGCTTGATATTTTGGATCGGCAACGTCAACCTGGCATTTTGAGAGTGTAGACCATCAGCTTGGTAGCTCGCCGTTTTTTTTAGGCATGTCTAACCGGCTGCCCTACGAGTCAATGATTTCGAACAATTGAAGGGCGAATTTTTTAATGTTTTTTTTTGCTGTGTTCGCGCGTGTTGGGCTTTTTTGCTTTTCATGGGCCCGTGGGCGGGGGTGTCGCGGCATCTGCACAAGACACGTGTTCGACAGTGCACGGAAATGAACCGAAATTTACTCAACCACCGTACGGTCGTAGCAGCTGCCAGACGAAATTCCCCACGTCGCAAATTGCTGGTCTCAGTCGCGACTAAAAACTCACTAATATACTCCTCTCATCATTGGATTCTGTCGTCTACCTCTCTGGCCCCCATCTTCCACTCCATCTTCCACTCTACTAGCGAGACGACCCAATCAGGGTCACATAAGAGGGGGGGGCTGGACCCCCTCCTGCGGTTCCTGCCTGAGATATTTTTATCGCGAGAAGTGCAGCAATTCCTTCCCTCTCGACTTATGATGTCGATAAAGTTTACTAACAACTTGTGTGGTGACGAGACAAAAAATAGTTACGAGTGAGACTGCTTACCTCTACGCTAACAAATCTCTACGCTAACGAAACCCTTTGACCACCACTTCACTCTAAAAAGCTTCACAGAGAGTTCCGTCCATCATTAGCCGAGCATGGTAGCTGCACCCTTTGCCCACCACGCGTTCTGGCAATGATTTGGTTTATGTGGTCCACCGCGAACAAGGTCCGCCAAATGATCATGACTGGCGGACGACCACGACACCAAGGGGGGGCGGGCAGAGCCCCCTTGTACATGTATAATAAATATGTAAGTTTACCTCCACGCCTCCCATCCTCTCGCCAGACCATTTCAAGTGACAACGTCATGATGATGCTCCGGCATCTCTGCGCGCAAAACTGTTCTGACGGTTGGTTGTTTCGTTGCTGCCGGGTAATGACACCTACCTATGCTCTGGTGTTTACTTTCCTTCGAGATATCGTAAATGACACGAGATAACACACCCCCTGGACCGATTTTTCAAATCTCGATTTCTCAACAACATAAAGAGTCACGGCGCCGAAAACGGCGGCGTTGGAACCGTCTCGTCGAGAGCTTTCCAAAAATGTATCGTTTAGTTTATGCATCCTTTTCGTCGTGGAGTAATCGAGCTTTGAAAACTGGCCCAGGGGGTGTGTTATCTTGTGTCATATAGGTGCTGCACGGTGAACTCTCTTGACCGCCTTCCGCGCTAGAGTGTCGAGAGGTCCAGTTGATGATGTTCCCCGAAGACGAAAGCTCCAAAAAGTGTGTCAGGGTGCTTTGGTGGGGTGTAGGCCCAGTTCCGCGGGTTAAAGTGAGTACCCGACGTCGGGATGTTGAGGCTTCAGCGATATGTAGTGTTTTATGCTGCAGAATGTATAAAAAAAAACGGGGATGGGGCTAAAACGTCCCCCCCTTTGGAAAAACGGCGATAAAACGTGTTTTTAAGGACATTTTTAAGCTCGTTTTTTAAGGCTATTTGATGCGTACAACCGCGGAGATTGACCACAAATACCCTGTGTGACATATGTGAACATTTATTTCACCGACGTGCTTGAAAATTATGTATGTTGTGCATTATACAAATAGAAAAAGACAGCCCATTTCGGCGACAAACCGTGAAAACATTAGCCACAGACGCCGGCAAATACTTGTTTTCTCCTGCTGGAGACCCTTCTTTGATATCCCAAACCGCCAAAGGGAGACGACCTGCCGCTGCATATGAACAGCAACATGCAACAAACAGCACACAGCAACAAAAAAAGTACAAAAACTGCAACAAAATTACCCAAAAAAACAAAAGAACATGGAAGAGAACAAGGCGCCAAACACGAGAACATGACGTGCACCACGGACACCCCTCAATTCCCTACACCACAAGACGCCCGAGTAACCTTGTGCTTGCCCGACACAGCTTTCACCATACAGTAGCCACCGTCCCCGCGTACTTCTTGGCCGGGACGCAGTCGTCGTAAGCTCCAACACTACACTTCGAGCAGTAGCACGACGCCTGGCGAACGCGTAGCTTGTATCGCTTCGTGACAGCCGGAAGCGTCAGAACGGTTGATTCGTCCGCCTGCCATCTCTGCGGGTTAGCTACAACCTCTTTCTCGCCACCTTCGAGGGGAACCCCGTTCTCTGTCTGCACCTCTACGCCTACGCCCGAGCTCTCCTCCTCCTGGACCTCCGCTCCCATGAACTGGTACAGCTTGGAACTCCCAGAGATGCCCGTCAAATCTACGAACGGGCGAGGGATCTCTCGGTGTCCAAGAAGCTTGATGTGGAACCTCTTGATCCGGTAGGGG